GCCATTTTTTGAAAAAACCATGGGCTATAGCCTTTGCTTTTTTCAAAACTTTGCTGTACATGGTCTTTGTCCAAATTTTGTAGCAACTCAATTTTAATCAGAATAAGCTAATATTTGCTATGCAGCATACTAACATAAACGTGTATCATAAAATGCCATAAGAATTTTCTTTTTCATGTAATACCCTGTACAGGGCGCTAAGCCAAATTTTTGAATAAAAATTAATAAAACTTAAATTTGCTATGCAATATGTACGTGTATAATAAAAATGGTGAATTATTTCCTAACTGACCATAGCAGGTAGCACCAGCATCTTCGTAGTGATAGCACCCACTTGAACCAGCAGTGTAGCCACACTGTGAGAATCTGTAATGACTGCTTGAGCAGCTGACATATCTAACAGCTATAGGAGCATATCCTTGTCCATAACTAGCACAGCAGCTTGATCCACCAGCTGATAGATGATAATTTATTAATGAAATAAAGGTGAGTGAGTATTTTACCATAATAGCCCAGTTGTCTGCAAAAAGTGTTTGCGTCATAAGTACTCCACCCGTCATCACAAACAGTCCCCCACTGATTGTTAAGACAGACCTCAACGCGACCATATGATCGGTAAGATGATGAAGTCGGAATTAAACGAACATCATAATTTGTACAAGACCCACCAGCTATACAAGTTATCAATGACACATACAACCATTCATTGTTTACTTTGACACACGACACCAGCAATTCTGGTTATAGTACAAGAGCTAGTTAGAGAACTTGAGTAACTGCAGCTTGATATGTTAGTCTCGGATCCAGAACAACCAACATAATCAATCCATGTTACTCCATTACCCCAACCATAGTATGAGCTAGTTCTGGCAATGGCTCCTGTTTAATTAGTTCAAAGGATAGCTAGTTTTTCTGCATTTTCATACCTGAGGTCCCATATCCAAGCTGACGACAGACCACCTGTGCATCAGCATTGCTGAATCCATTGTGACAGACCCAGC